ATATATATATATATATAAGGATGTTTATACTAATTAAGAATCTCCCACCTCCCCATCCCAAAAGTTTTTCATTAAGATTTTTTAAGAATACATTAAAATTTGATGATCTTGTAATAGTTATTTTACATTTGTGTGGACTCAAATCCTTTAATGGCAATAGCATTTGTATTACTAATTAATAATTAACAGTTGAGAATGCCGACCTTATAAGACCTTGCTAGCTACATTCAACTGTAGTTACATTAATTAATAATATTTTTAATCAGAAATTTGGAAAATTCTGGCCTTGGATAGATTAAAATTTGAACCTGGGGTCATCTTTGGATCGAATGAGAGACGTATGAGTGATGTTAATGCGTATTGTCTTTGTGTGTCATTTTCGTAACATTTAGAGCTGTCCCGTTGGTTTGACTCACAAGTCACAAACACTAATTACATGAAAAGGGCATGCTCTCGTAGGAGCCACGTGCATGCAAATCAAATCACCTAGTTCCTTCATAAGAGGATCAACTTTTTAATTTCCCTTACCCCACCTAACCTAAATAAACAAATTCCGTCCCAACTTATTTCATTGCTGTTACGTGTTTAAAATAAACTTTTAACTACTTATTAAATACAATATTAATTTTTAGATAATAATAATAATTCAAATAGATAAAAGAGCACCTATTAACATCCCACTCAAGAAAAAAAAATGGGACGGATTGGGGTGGAGAGAGAAATGAGAAAGGAAAAATAAATAAATAAATAATAATACGAGAAAGAAAAAAAAGATAAAAATGAGACGAGGGACAAAGTGAATTGATATTTATAATTTTTTTTTGGATAAAATCTATTTGACGATTCAACCAGATTTGATGCCTTGACGACTTCGAATAATAAAGTTTCAATGTTAATTAAATTTGTTATCGTAATATTTTGTCAAGATAGTACAGTTTATATATATATAGATAGGAGGGTTCAAACGACATCAGTGTAATTTTTACTAAGTGTTACATCGCTTAATAACTTTATATTAATTGTGAATTTTGTAAATTTAACCATTAGATTGAAAATTATTTACTCTTATATCATATATACAAAATTTTATATTAATCCAAGATAATTTGATACTTCATTTTTATAAAATAAAATTGACGTAATATATTCATTTCAAAATACACTAAAATATAAACACTTTGATTACCTTCAAGTTGTTGTTCAATTTTAACAAAATTTGATATACACATATAAAGTGATATGAATTTTCAATCTAACGGTTGAATTTTGAAAATTCAACCGTTAGATTGAAAATTCATATCTCTTAGATCATATATGTCAAATTTTGTTAAAATTGAACAACAACTTGAAGGTAATCAGAGTGTTCATATTTTAGTATATTTTAAAATGTATATATTACATTAATTTTATTTTATGAGAATGAAGTATCAAATCATCTTAAATTAATATAAAAATGTGTCTTAAACTAAATTACTATGTAAAAATAATTTAATTTGAACTTGATTATATTGAAATAAATATGTTTATATAAACGTGGTCAGGAAAGATAGTTACTAAAAATATCAGTCTTAGTATAAATTATGGAATTTTAGAGTTAGTATAAATTAATTAAGTCACAAGGAAAATTGAATATTTTTAGTCTAAAACACTTTTTTTTTTTCATCTTTTGCAAGTAAGTTTTGTCTAAGATTTGTCTAATGTATAATGCAATACCTAATCGATTGACCTTTCATCCTAGTAATGACAAAATGTATTTGAGTTCTACCAATACCTGCAAAAAATACTTTTAATGGAAGGTTAAAAACTTGTATAATAAATACGAAGGTGATAACAGGTTTTAACTTGCAAAATTCAATGGGATAGAGGTGTTACGATAATATAGTACTCATCAGTCATCACCTGCCTCATCCGTGCCTCTATTTGTATATAACTATTTAAATATATAAAAAAAAACTTATATTAATATAGAATCCTAAATTGGACTATTTTATTTATTCAATTAGAGTTATAATATATTTTATTAATATTTTTATTTATTATTTTAGATAGTTTAATTCTTAACTTTTTGTCATGTTTTAGTTTCTTCTAGCATTATACTATTATTCGACCAAAACAATATTTAAATTTAAAGATAAGCATACACAAATGTGGTTTAGGTATCTACAATTTGGCCTAACCTATTTATTAAAACGTTAAAAATAATATTTAAAATTGAGAGATGAGCATTTACACTTATAAATCAAGGGGTTATATTAACAAGTCATTGATTTAAGTGAATTTAAGTGATTTTGAACTCAATCTCTTTAAATAAAGTTTTAAGTTCGATTATTATCAATAATAAAATCATAGTTAAGAGGAAAGACCTACTAAAGTTAGTTAAACAAATCCTCCAATAAAAATTAATCATCTACAAATTTTAAAACATTATTAAAAATAATATTTAAACTTTAAATATAAATGTTTACACAAATATAGAATAGAAACCTACAACTTAGCCTGACATATTTATTAAAAATGGTTATTAAAATAATATTTAAACTTTAGAGATAAGAGTCTATAAAAATAATATTCAATCTCGATTAGCAGAAGTTACATCATGTAAGTAAAATTTAATCTTTGGTTAACAACTTTGAATATTACATGAACTATGTTCATAAACCAAAAAAAATATAGATCAAGGATTATGACTTTGCTTAACTTGTTTATTAAAAAGGTCATTAAAAATAATATTTAAACATGATAGATAAGTATCTTTACAATATTTGATGATGAAGTAAATTAGTCTATCTTTTTATACTTTTTTAATATATAACATATTGGAGTAGATGCATAACAACACAAGAACTTAAGTTTAATTTTCATTAATGTCATTATACTTTTTTATAAAAAAAAAATTATTTCAAATTTTTTAGAAGTAAAAATAAGTCAAACGGCCTATCAAGGACCTAGGACTTAACTTGATCCATCCATCAAAAAGTTTAGGTTTATACTCTTTAAAAGAACCTATTTAAATATAAATGCTAAGTTTTAGGCCTTAAAAAAAGATTTGTTAA